TGGATAACAACTAAGTTGGAAGACTAGAACTGATATGAGGACTTAGAGTGAAGACTAGTGTGAGGACTAATATGATATTCAGACTGAGGTACTACAAGACATATACACGAGTTTATATACTAAGAGAAATAACGGAAGGATCAATAAGCAGAGTCTAAGGCTATGTATGAAGCATATGCAAAGGTTAACAAATGCGAGTCGGAAATGAACATAGGTTAATGGATCAGTAAGCATACCAGTAATAGATATAACTGAAACAGCGGAATAGAGGAAATACTGAATAGGCTGTGTATAACATTATAAGAACAGGAAATGAATTAGGAAGCTTATCTATATCAGATCAGAAGCGGATCTATACATCGGATCGGACCGGATCGGATATGGTCCGGATGAGATGCGTGGATATATAAGATGTGGCATTAGGGCGATGGGACAAGGATGAATGATGCAGGCTAGCTGCGAAGGATAAGGGATCTGGATGTGGACATGCGGATGTGGATGTGCAGAGGTGCAGGGATCCGGATGGGTACTGGAGACATGGATAGCACATCCGAAGGTCCGGATGAGGCATGGGAATATTATCAGATGTAGGTCCGGAATACGGGATATGACAGGTAGCATGCAGAGATGAAGGAACAATTAGAATACTGATGAAAAAAATTGACAGTGAGCTGGCAGCAAGAAACAACAACAAAGCTATCATGTCCGACCCTTCAGCGGAAAAAAAGGAACAACAATCACAATATGAGCTCACTTTGCAAAGTAAGTTTTCATTAACACCATAAAAGACTCCTAGATAATCACTCCTGCTGAATGTTGTCGCAGTTCATGGAAATCCATACCCAAACCATGCTCCAGTGAATAGGACACAAAATGCATCTTGGAGGATGGGGTGCTCATAGGCAAATCATGCAGCAGTTTTAGTGACATCTGGATCTGTTGGTGGGTTTAGGGTGACCCAGTAAAGGTATGAAGAATCATCATCTGCACATCAATAACATAGAAAATTGCCAAAATATAAGCCATGATAAAATACCATGATCATGTGGAAACTTGAGGGTGTCACAGAAAAGTAAATGTTAAGAAGTCGCATAAGCCTTCAGTTTGAGTACCATGTGAATGTTGCCTAGCCTGGTGCACCTATTGCAGACTTACCCACAGGTAGGATAGCAAGTCTCCAGAGACACAATTTTTTGCGGCCTTTGGAGAGTTAAGCTGCAAGGCTATATAATGGAGTATGTGTGGTCACATGTGCAAAGATAAAATATTAACCAATATCATCAGAATTCAGAAGAAATGAGGCCCTGGAAGAATTTTTAGCCTAATCTGCAATCACACTTTGAGATCAGCTGCCATCATAACCACATGTCCCAGTTTTTAGTCGTTTTCCATGATGTGTGAGTGCATGACAAGTGGGTCTGTCTGATAAGGATGAGAGATTGCATTTGAAATGACCTAGCAGGTATAAAGTTGATCATCATGGAGCTTGGGTGTTGAGAGCATTGAAGGATGGCATACCAGTGATCTAGGCGTAATGTAGATCTTGTGATGTGCATGGGTATTTGATCTGAGTTGGCCCCTTCCCTCTTTCTCTTCCTTTTTTCTGCACTGTATTGTATCCCCCAAGCCTAAGCAGCGCTCATGGTGCCCTGAAAAAGATCCCAAGTATCACACAACAGTGTAAGTTGCTGTTCAAATTTTTCAGACTCATCCATCAGTTGCAGGTAGCATTCCCGAACAATCTTACAAATTTTATCTTGGCTGCACTTCAGCCCTGCATTTATGACAGCAAATGGAGATGCAATATGATATGCAAGTGTTGGTAAATCGGAGAGAGGATATATATAAGTTATTGGTGACTGGCCTGGCTCTATCCTTGAAATTGGCAGTGGATGGTGTACGGCCACTATGGTATATTGAGTTACCTTTTCAAGTTCCCACTGCATGAAAGTGAGTATTTCAATGGTGGATAATACCATGTGTAATATACCTTCTCTATAAATGATAGAGGAGCCTCACTAGATGACATGTTTTTCCTCCATAAAATGATTGTCTTGACATAATCATGCACATCTTGCAGCACATGAATATGTGGTAAAAGAAACCAGTAATGACTATTGAAAGCATGATGTAAGGTTAGCAGCTACTATAGACTAAATACCAATGACTAATAATGTGGTTGCTTGTGGGTGGCTATTTACACCTATGACCATATGTATTAGTTTTGAGATCCAGAATAGTATAAGAGTGTGTATGCTCCTGCTTGATGCATAAGCCAGGGCCATAGATAACAATATGCTTTGAGGCAGACAGTTGTTATCATACAGTGCTAGAACAAAAGAATGAAAAAAAATAAGTGACAACAAGATGAGAGCATGCATCACTGCTTCACTTAAAATTACTCACCTCTGCCAGCGTATTTGGGTGTTATTCCAAATAGGCTAATTTGAGCAAGCAAGATAAATTCCAATGCTAAACATTCAGTAATGAGACTAAAGCTGGGAAACCTGTTCATCAAAAACACACATATAGACATGCTGCATCAAAATGACATCTGTGCTAAGATTCTTTTAGCAAAGCTGCAGTAAAGAATGTTATTTGCAGTGGACTGAGACTTGAAGCTACTATAAGCAGCAACACATTCAATGTCAAAAATATACATACAAAAGGGACAAAGTGATTAATTTATAATAGCCACACCTTGAGTACCAGTAACAACTTCTTAATCCTTCAGATGGTCAGGTACAATAGCAAAGATATCAGATGTTGTGATCTTTTGTGCAGTACAATCAGAAAGATTGTAAAATCCACAAACAAAGGACCTACTGGCCTTTAAGCTTTCCAATCATCTTATAGGATAGGAGGGATGAGAGCACAGTGCTAAAGGTAAGCTAGGGACTTAAAGTGGGCCAGAGTAAAAGACATGAAGGTACATAAAGAAACAGTAATATGTAGGGGTTACCAAGTAACAGCAATGACATGCAGGCCTGAGCAACAACTCCAACACAATTGAAGGTGGGTCATAAGAACAGACTTTAACCAAGATATAGTATTGATGTAGTAGCCAAACCTGTTTTTGCCATAGTAACATATTTAAAAGGAGCCAAAACACTTACAATATATTTTGCCAACTTCTACTATTCTATCAATTGCTAAGAGAGAAATTCCTTTCTGCCTCTGACACTATAATGAGAATACCAAACTTATGAGTGAGAATCTAAGAGATAAACTTAGCATTGAGTTGAGGTGATGAGCATATTAGTGCAGGTATAAGATAAGTCAACTATCAGAACTTGAACTGCAAACATTTTACAAGACACATATGAGGTAGTTATATGTGTTTATTAGAATCATAGTGGTGCATTGATGTTTGTCCGCTTTAATCTTCAATCTATTATAAGAATTATTATCCTGATATAATAAATTAGTTGATATTATGTGTTTATTGGAAATTTAATCAAGTATCAAGATCTAATATTGGGGCTGCCACTGGAAGAAGGAGGATGTGTCCTTTTTGATATTTAACCCCTGGTTGGGTGGTGGTTTATAATAATGGCAGGTGCTGAGAAAATATTCAGTGATTCATGTGCAGGATGCATCCAGGTTAGACAATGGATAATTATATAATATGATATATTGAGATTTATAGACAACTAACCTCTTAAGATGTATTAATATAACAGCATAAGCTAATTTTGGCTATGAGACAGTGTTATAGCAGAGTGTGACAAGATTACTAAGAAGAGATACCCAAAATTAATAGAGAATATGTCTAGAAGAGTGGTAGAAGTAATTAGAGCAAAAGGAGGTCACACAAAGTATTAAAATTATAGAGATTACATCATCACCAAAATTGCTGAAATCAGACAATACATGATATGTGGCAAATGTTAACACTTGTGCAATACCTATCAGCTATTATAAGATACACCAGCGATGTTGGCATGTCAGCACAACATCTGTCTGTCAGACTTGCTGTTTGATAAATACCATTCTGTCTTCAGCTATCACTCTGTCCTCCTCATCCTCTTCATTATCTTTTCCATCCTGTTCCTTGTCTACCTCAAGCCTGATATAATTGTTCTCTGACTTCAAGTCCTTGCCTTCCACATCTTCTTCCAAGTCTGACTTATTGCTGCCAGCTTTGTTATATCCATGTCCTTCATGCTGGAGAAATTTGTTCCAATTGCATGTGACCTTATGGTCTATTTCACTACCACAAAACTGCAGGAACATGTCCTTATCTATAAACCTGTACATAAATAAAGTTAGATAAGAGTCTAATCATGAGTTTCAAGGCACGTACATGTTTAAGTAGTAAAAATGCCAGTCTGAATCATCCCTGCATGAGTTACCCTTTCACCATGCAAATGTCAGTCCAAGTAATTCGTCAGTAGTACTGAAAGCAAACACAGGACATAAATAAACACCACGAACAACTGAGTCAGGGCTCAAGAATCTGAATGCATCAGGAAGGCTATCACAATCGAAAAATTCAAGATGCTGCAAGTGTTTTGTAGCTCATCCTGCAGGTGAGCTGTCACAATGAAACCAACAAACAAATAGGACACTGACATGAGCTGGTAGAGTTTGCAGTGCTACAGAATACTCACAATACTCTACATTTATATGGAAAATCTGAATAATGCATGCATACCAATTAAAGTTGCTGCCATCCAGTTCTGAACCCACCAAACCAGTTCTGAACCTCGAACCGGACCATGGTTCAGTCCAGTAACGGTTAGGTTCGGGAGGGTCCAGAGGTAATTAGGTTCGTGGTTCAGAGAATAGTAAAATTTAAAAACCATATGCGGACCTGTTCGAACCGTGACCGAACTACTATGGATATTTTTTTAAAAGTAGCAAGATACTATTCGGCAGTAGGTAGTACTAGGTACTGTACAGTTGTAATATATCAGGCCAGCTTATGGCTGATACACCTGGGATAGTTACCGCTTAGCGGTGAATACTAGTAGAGTTAAACATCATGAATTTACACTATGGATGACCAGTGTGCAGTCGACACAGACAGAACACTCAAAGATCCCTGCGACATAGAATGGGAGTATTCTCCAACACAAAAACTTTGTGTGATACCTCTCATTGCTCCTTCATTACCATCACCAGCAGTGCCTGGCCCTAGATCTTCCATCACATTTGGTGCACAGCTGACACCAGCTAGTTTTGCTCCTGCACTGAAACATCAAGCAGATACCAATAACTCGACTAAATCTGCAATATGTACCAAGTCCAAGGCAATTTCAAAAACCTCCTTGAGTGCTCGCCAGAATGAGAAAGATGCACCCAATGCAAAGGTAGCACAGCCTCCAAAGCCAGTTGCATTTGACCATGTCAAAGCCATGCAAGCTCAAAGTGTGGCCTTGTCAGACGCTGGAGGTGAAACAGATGACAACAGTGATGATGAACCTAGGGAAAAAAAACGTAAAAAAGGTGAAGGTGCTGCAGACATCATGACTGTGTTCAAACCTGTGGATGCTGATGACTTATCACAAGGATACGAGTGTGAAATATGTGTGTGAGTACTGAAATTAAATAAAACTCACCTGAAAGCTCTCTAAGTTCACAACCAGGACAAAGAAGAACAAAAATCTGAAGAAATATGCAAAGTTGCAGACTGTCTTTAAGGGCAACAACTCGACAATGTGAACTCATGTCAGTCGGATGAGCATGTGTCACTACAATGTATACCGGAAGAAATGCATAGAGGGTGATATAGACATGCATCCATGATGCATACCTGAGGAGGAGGAAGAGCGCTTGGCAGGAAGCCCCAATGGACAGTACATTTGGCTTCTCATAAATGAGACTCAGGACTGAGCATGATTACAAATACTAGACAACCATCAATTCTGAGCTTCACGCAAACCATCAAGAAACCTGGCAAGGAATGGACTAAGGAGCAATTTAATGATCTCCTTCTCCGTTTCATAGTTGAAACTGACCAAGCACTTTCAATTGTCGACCACGACGCATTCCATAAACTTCTACTCTATAATGGTTGCAATAAGACGAAGTCGGCAGATATTCCACCTCAAACTAAAGTTATTGAGTCAGTCTTGGCATGTGCCACAGAAATACAGGCAGATCTTGCAAATGAATTGCAGGTAAGTGTACAATTGCATGGATGACATACATAACTTAAGTTTCATAGGCTTCTCCATGTTGTATCTCTCTTACATTTGATGGATGGACATTCAAAATCATGATGTCTTATCTTGCGGTCACAGCTCATTGGATGTCAGAGCATTGGCGGCTTCGGTCAGAATTATTGTCATTTTCTGAGATTGATAATAGTCATAGTGGCGAGAATCTGGGTGTGCAACTGTATGATGTTCTCAAGCAGTATGGCATTCATGATCCCTCAGACACCATGACTTCGCTAACTCCCCTGATCAGAGCATTGAACCTAGGCGCATTACCACCTATTCTACCTTTGAATGCCATGTCTACCAAAGATATAGAAATCAAGATCAGTACTCCCCAAGAATTCAATGGAGACTGCGACGAATCACACAGATTCATGTTGAACTGTAATGTGTACCTCGACATCAACGATAAAATCTACAATTAGGATAAGAAGAAAGTAATCTTCACATTATCATTCATGACCAAGGGCAATGCTCCTGCTTGGAAAGAAGACTTCATGGAAGCTACACAAGATCCCAAACGGTGTCTTCTTAGATAGATGATCTATAGATAAACACCTATAAAAACAAATATCTCCACGGTCAGCGATTCAGACAAATACCAATGGCTGATAACGTGGTCGTTCGTGGGTGGCTGTTTACACTTCCCAAGCTATGTCAGACCACAGTACTTCTGTAAGGTCAGCAATAATGCAGTCAATCCAACAAAAATGAAACTGAAATGAAATCACTCCAACGGTATGGCAGTGATTGAAAGACGAAAGAAAACTAGTCAACCCAACGGTATGGTGATGACAAAAAGAAACAAAGAAAAAAAAGACACCTCTTCAAACCTTCCTTCAACAACAATGCCTTGTAACAATCGTATCTCGAAAGAGTTGTGTGGAATTACAGCAATCAACCCCCTCAGCACAAACAGGTAGAATCAAAGGTCAAGACTAATCAATGCTCAGTAGAACTCTTAGCTCACTGTTGAACCTGCTGCCAAGGAACTCACGATGAGTATTAAACAGAATCAGGAATGGATGTCCTTGGTTTCAGTACCAAGTCCCCTATTCAACAACTAAAGTCTAGCAGACAAGGAAGATCCTGGCTCAGTATCACTACTCAGATGAGTGAGGTCAAGTGTTACTGTCAATCCCTAAAGTCTCCCCACTAAACTATTCGGAGTTTAGATGGACGAAAGAGACAACACAAAAGCTTCTGAAAATATGAATGAAAGCTTAGCACCGAAACTTGAAAGAGAAGAAAGAGAGAGGATCACAGAGAGAGAGAAGAGAGAGAAAAAGCGAAAGAACGAAAAAAAAAAGAGAAAAACAAAAGAGTGACAGAAAAGAAAGACAAAGAAAGAAAGAAAGAACGAAAGAAAAGAAAGAGAAAAAGAGAGAAGAAAACTAGAAAATCAAAGAGAAAAAAATCAAAAAAAAAAAAGTTCTGTCGGTCGTTGAGCACAGTGAGCTCAAGGTCTTGGTCATCGTTGGTGGTGATGAGCTAAGGGTGTTGCTGGATGCTGATGCTGATGAGCTTAGGGGCTTGCTGGTTACTGAAAGTTGCTGGCTGACTACTGGTTACAATGACTTTGCTGAAGGTACTTGACAGCCCTGGTCACTGTTGTTGACAATGATCACACTTCACACACAATTTTATTCTGAAAGTGGGGCTTAAAAGCTCTCTTCTTTGGGCAAAAATTTGGGTCTTATATACAAAAAAAAGGGTGGCTGTGCTACGTTTTCCCGCCATCTATGAGGGGTGGGCTTAGTCAGCGGTACCAAAAATCATTTTGCAGGGGTTGCTTATGTTGCACCAAATGAGACCATAATTAGTCAGCATTAGTCAGCATGCTTGGGCTGAGTGTTCTGTCATCACTTGATTTGGATCAAAAGTCACCTGACTTAAGATCATGTGATTTAGCATCATGTGACTGAAGGGTCATGTGACAGGCTGATTGTGCACTGCAAGAGAAATATTCATGATCATTGGTGTTCCGTTCTGATGTCACTTTGTTGAATGAGAAAATGACGCGAGGCAAGTATTTAGGGTTTTGAGGAAGTTTTCCCAGGGTAACCCATGCGAGAACTATTTTTTCACAGTCACCTGACATGTGTGGGATTCAGCCTGAGTCATTGTTGAGGATGACTAAGCAAAATTCATCGCAGAATTAAATATACAAAAATATTCAGCCTGTCTGAGTTCCATTGAAAAGATGAAATGAAATATTTGTCTGAGCTGCATTCTGGCTTTAGAATAGAGGGAAATGGTTTCATAGTGATTTCTAGGGTATTAGGCTCATGGGAGAGCATTAGTCATCCATGCACCGAACCAGTTTGGTGCAGGTCAACGGATAGGCACCTCAGGAAGCATGATTAGATATGGAACCTGGGCCGATTTCAAAGTAACATTCAAAGAAGCCTTCGGAGCCATATACCCTGCAGGGACCGCTATGTCCAAAGTCCGCGCCCTTGAAATGAAAGGAGATCTCCAGACCTATATCTCCAACTACCACCTTCTTGCCCATAAAGCGGGGATAAAAGAGAATGTCACCAAAGTGGAATTCTTCCGTGAAGGCCTAGACAGAGACCTCCGAGACAGTCTCTACCAGACTGGAGAAAGCCTCGACGACTTTGAAACTGTTGTCGCCACCTGCATCAACCTGGACAATGCATTCCAAAGGTTAAAAGCAATCAAGAAGAGGGAAAACCCACACCTCTTTCAGAAGAAGAAAAAATTCAGAAACTCCCACTTTACCCCCCGCAGAGATGATGCCATGAAAGTTGACTGACTCTCCAAAACAGAAGTAAGGAGGCATCTAAAAAAAGGACGGTGCTTCAACTGTCACAAAGTAGGACACCACGCCAATGATACCGCATTCCACCTGCATGAAGACACAAAGCAGAAAGCCCCTATTAGGAGGAAGATTGAGAAAGAAGCAGAGGGAAGCAGTGGTGATGAAGTCAAAAACCACTGCTTCACTACTGAGATGGATTTTTAGAAAGGAAGGCTGCTTCGACATCAGTACTTCCCCTTCCCATACAACTTGTACAATCACTCGGAAATAGAAAAGAACTCAGGATTCCTGCTTCTATCCTTTCTGAGAAACGTATGAAAACCGTCAAAACCTCTATGGTCGTAGATTCAGGAGCATCTGGAACATTCATAAGTGATGCTTTCTGTAAGTTACACAAGATCTGAACCCACAAACTTTCCAAACCATTTCCCGTTATCACTGCGGATGGATCAGATGCCATGGGAGGCCTTATCTCTCGATATTGTGTTCTTACTATCAAAATCGATAGAAGAACCATGATAGGAAAGTTCAATGTGGCCAAGCTTGCAAAATATGACAAAATTCTATTAGGATGTCCATGGTTAGAAGCTCTCAACCCGGATATCAGCTGGTCCAGAGGAACATTGTCGCTCCCAGAAACCGAATGATCCTGAAGAATTGAACAACAAATTGACCATGCCAGAAAACGCAATAAACTCCCTTCTCTGTTCTTGACAAACAAACCATCTATTAGTGCCAGAAAACCCTCCGTGTGGAAAGACTCTAAATTGAAGAAAGCCACACAGGTGAAGGTGGTTACTGTTGAAACTCCTTCGCCCTCCGTAATGGCCTCCATAGAAGAAGTCCCTGACAAAGACGACCCCCCTCCTCTTATGCCCGACCAAGATGAAGACCACACAGACTACGACACTAAGGATGATGTATGGTCAGAAAATTTTGCCCCTACCGTCAACAACATTTCTACCTATGAATTAAACAATGACAAAGTCCTCATCGAGTATGCCTCAGATGGTTCTCAAGTATGAGTCATCGAAGAGGTATCCTTCGACACTCCACTCACTCGTGACAGGACATCAAAAGCGGAACAAGCATACAAGAAAACTAGCAACAAAGCCCAAGAGTTCGCTGTAGCTGGCGAGATAGAAAAAGGAAAGAAAAGCTTTGAAGAGCTTTTCCCGCCTTACATGCACACCTATGCAGATATCTTTGCAAAAGATGGCCTTAACAGGCTTCCTCCTGAATGACCTGGCATTGATCATCACATCGATCTAAAACCAGGATTCATCCCAAAAACATCGAAAATCTACCCCCTGTCTAGCAAGGAATGAGAAGCAGTCAAAGTATTTATCGAAGAAAACACAAAGAAAGGATTCATTGTGCCTTCGAAATCCCCTCAGGCTAGTGGATTCTTCTTCATAGGAAAGAAAAGCGGAGAATTGTGCCCCTGCCAGGACTACAGATACTTGAATGATTGGACAGTGCGAGACCAATATCCTCTTTCTTTGCCCAAAACCCTCATCGAACAACTCTATAATGCGCAATATTTTACCAAGATAGACATCCAATCTGGTTATAATAATGTCTGCATTCATCCTGATGACAGATGGAAAGCTGCATTTACCACTGAGGAGGAGTTGTGGGAACCCACTGTGATGTTCTTTGGTCTTATGAATTCACCCACCACCTTCCAGAGATACATGAACAACCGGTTCCAG